GGTTTAGGGTTCAGGGTTTAAGGCTGTAGGGTTGTAGGGTTTAGGGCGTTAATGGATTATAGGGTTTAGGGTTAGGGTTGTAGGGTTCGGGGTTATACGGTTGAGCGTTTAGGTTTTAGGGATTGCCTCGGCCGTTTACTTTGAAGGATCATGGGACTTAGCAAGTAATGTTATCAGCCCCTTAGGAGCTGTAAGATCCGAGATGGCTTTAGTTACATCTCTATGAAGAATTTGGGTTAGAGGGTTATAGGGCTAAGCGCTGTAGGCTTGAGGGTTTAGGGTCATAAGGCGCTTACAAGGCTTTCGGGTGTGGGGCTCGAGGCTTCAGGGTTTAGGGTTATAGGCCTTAGGTTTTAGGGTCCAATATCCCAGGTTTAGGGTTGAGGGTTTAGGGTTTAGAGACGTGGTTCATGCCTTTCTTTCTTCGACGGGAGGTCGTCATATTATTCTAACTAACCCTAAACCAAAAAACTAACACTGAACAACCGAGAGTGCCATTCTCGTCTTGCGCTGGCTCAGGTAACGAGCTGATGATGACCAGGTCCATCGTAACCTCAATTTAGGGTTCAGTGTTACTGCCCCCTAATAACCCTAAACCCAAAGCCGTAAACTCTAAACCCTGTATGCTAAGACTTCTATGGGGTCTTACGGAGTCCTTGAGGTCGCTCTAGGGCTTTATCGTGCAGGCATTTCTCAAAGTTAGGGGTCCTCATAAAGGGGCGGGGGGTCCTACTCTGCCTAGAACAGGCCATGAGTTGCAGTGCGTTTTCGAAGGTACAATAAGTAATTTAGGACCCAGGTTGTAGGGTTTAGCGTTTAGGGGGGGAATGTATTTAAGACGGTCCGTATACACTACTAATCTGAAATTAGGTCTCACAAAACGAGAATAAGGATGGTCGTTTGGGGTCTAATTCTTTCTAGTAGCGACCCTCCGCGGGATAAGAAATCTATTGTGGCTTAGCATCCCACAACATATAAAGCACGGTAACTAGAAAAAACACAACACTCCAGGGTGTAGGTAGGATCCCTTATGTGAACCTCCCAAGCGGCCTGTGTGCAGTGCCCCAAGTACCTGGGCTTTGGAACAACCACGAGAAAAAAAATGAAACTTGTATTTCATGATGCCACCTTGGGTACTGCGCCCTTTACAAGAACAGTTTATAATGAGGCTACCATCCAGAGCTTTCTATGTCTATATCACAACTCTTACATGTTATTTCACTGTCACTGATCTAAACCCTAAACCCTAAACCCTATACCCTATACCCTAAACCCTAAACCCTGAACCCTAAACCCTAAACCCTAAACCCTAAACCCTAACTTTCGAGGAAGAGGTCCCAAAAAACAAAAACCGAAAGCTTGGTACTTCAGCAACCCAGATACTGCACCTGCTTCAGCAGATCAATATAGTCAGTTCCTTTGCTTCCGGGTCGGTTTAGGGCTTAGGGTTAGGGTTTAGGGTTTAAGGGTTTAGGGTTTAGGGTTTAGGGCTTAGGGCTTAGGGTTTAGGGTTTAGGGTTTAGGGTTCCAGATCTTAAGAAACCTTAAACCAAAACGGCTTTGAGTCTGGAGGTTAAGGGTCTTGGGGCTTGGGATCTAGGGGTTTAGGGTTTAGGGGTTTAGGGTTTAGGGTTTAGGGTTCAGGGTTTAGGGTTTAGGGAGAAACCTTAAACCAAAGCGCCAAGAAACCCAAAACCCAGGTGTCGCAATCAGTGATGTTAGCCTTAACCCATAGGCCCCATAGTAGTTCCTTTTTGGGGATTCATATATAGAATCCCTACAAGGAACCCCAAAAAAGGAACTACTATGGGGCCTATGGGTAACCCGTGCAGCCGACCAAAATTGAAGCAACAGTTTAGGGTTTAGGGTCAAGACAGCAGAAACAACCCAACTCCTTAAACCATAAACCCTGCCTTCCTGTTTTGAGTTTTAACGATCTTACTATATGGGATCTTAACAAGTAGAATCAGAATAGGGTCTTATAATGTAACTATAATAAGAACCCCCAAAACCCTATTCTAATTATTAAGGCCCTACATTATAGCTATCCTAGACCCTAGACCTTGTAGCTCTAGGATCCTTTCAGGTCACCGAAATCAAGGAGCTACCATGGAGACTATAGGTATCAACAAAGGAAGCTACTTACTTCCCCAGAAGCCAGGGAAATAAAGGGTTCAACTTTGAGATTACGACTAAACCATAAGAACCCAAAAAGTTTAAAGGTTGGGTATTGGGGAACAAGACTAAACCCAGGTTCGCACTGCCTGCGCCTCCTTACGGAGGTTAGCCAGGCTCTCATGGAGCTCCAACATGCAAGGACCCAAGTCCGCACTTTCCTCGGTTTAGGGCTTAGTGGTTCAGACGTAGGGTTTAAGGCTTAGGGTATGGGGTTTAGGGTGCAGGGTTTGGGGTTTAGGGTTTTGGGTTTACGGTATGGGGTTTAGGGTGTAGGGTTTGGGGTTTAGTGAAACGGTTATAAGGTTCAGGGTAAGCTTGGGGCGTACACCTTAAACCCTAAACCCTGCATTATCCTGAGTTTGCTACGGGCTTGGTCTGCCTGGGTCATGTTAAGGTGGGTTGGGTTTTGGGCTCTACAAGTCTATAGAGCTTAGGCCCAAAAGGCCCATGTGCCCATGTAGTATTTCAGTATATGCCTCGGCCCGATATATATCTCAGGAACCTCTTTGAAGCCTCGATACTCATGGTGTTGTTGGAGTTTCCGGACTTTGTGGGCTCTGGAATATTCTCGAATTAGGGTTTACAGTACAGTTTAGGGTCACGGACTTTAGGTTTACCTAGTCTCTGGATCGTAGTATTCTTCTACCGGATAACTTTTTTAATTTAGTTTTTGATAGCTAGGATCCACTACAACGATGTCTTAACAGAAGTTTGCAACTTGGGTTCTTGCTAGGGTTTAAAGGGCAGGGTTCAAGGGCTTCGGCTTTCGCGTCAAGGAGTGAATGGCCTAAACCCTAAACCCTAAGCCCCCTAAACCCTAAACCCTAACCCCGAAACCCTAAACCCGAAACCCTAAAACAGAAACCCAAAGCCCTGAGGCCTTCGTATAAGCTTTCCCTTAAGAGCCCAAAACCCACCTTTTTGTAGGTTCTTATTATATAGGATTTATAGGGACCGTACAAACTAGTAGGTGTTGGGTTCTTAAGGTCGAGATTTGGGAGGATCTACTTCGAGGGCCTCGGGCCTCCGAATCCTCCGAATAGGGTTTAGGGTCTTGTTGATGGTTTTAGGGTTTTTGTGCGTTTAGGGTTCAGGGTTTTGTTTAGGGGATTAGGGCTTTAGGGTTTTTCGGGGGTTTGGAGTTTAGGGTTTTGTTTAGGGTTTTAGAGTTTTTCGGGCGTTTAGGGTTTAGGGTTTGAAAATAGATACCTCTATACTCTAGAATCAGAAGGCCATGATCAATTCAGAAGCACCCCATCATGCCAACTTGTGAAAATTGGTTCCTCGAAGCCAGGGTTTGGAGATTTCTTCCCATTTCTTGAACACAGGAGCTGAACTGCGAAAACATCGGACGGAATCTGCACACAACCTACAAGTATCCTTAAAGCCTAAGGACCACATGTAACAACACCAAAGATCAAACCCTCAACCCTCAACCCTCAACCCTAAACCCCCTAAACCCCAAAATCCTAAACCCTAAACCCTAAACCCTAAACCCTAAACCCTAAAACCCTAAAACCCTAAACCCTAAACCCTAAACCCCCTAAACCCCCAAAACAACTGCTATGGAGAGCCTGGGTGCGTGGCCTCGAACCGCCCAAAGAAGGGTTGGAAGCTTATCCAGAGCGCTGCCTGGGCTTTGAAGTAACCAGGGAGAAAAAAGTATAGACTTTTAGTTCATAATGGTTCCCTTAAGGAACAGGTCCCAAAAAAAAGTATTCAAGTATGGTACTTCAAAGCCCAGCTGCAGGCGGTTGTCGAGAGCTTCGAGGCCACCACCTACTTATGAGATCTTAAGAAGGAGATGTCGAAACCCTACACGGTTTAGGGTTTAGGGTTTAGGGTTCCCCTAAACCCTTAACCCTAAACCCTAAATCCGATTCTTACCGGAGTTTCTATAAGTCCTGAAGGGTTTGTATAAATTCTCTGTGCAGTCCAGGTTCGGTTGGCTTTTACATGGTTTAACTTACAAGGGCCTGGCAGGCACTGGTATCTTGTCATGGTATACAACCTTATACAGCCTCCAAACCCTAAACCCTACCTGTATCCCGAAACCCTACAATATGGTGGGCTATGACCCCTCATTAGAGGGTCTGACCCTGAAAACGGTAGGTTTTTGGATCCCCAGGTACACCCTAAACCCTAAACCCTAAACCCTGATCATATTCCCTAAACCCTAAACCCTAGACCCTGATCATGTTCCTCTATACGGACAGGGGATGCTGCTGGCGCTTTAGGGTTTGCCCAGTACGGGTGATAGGGAGCGAGAACCCTACGGGTCCACGTACCTAATACGCTCCACAAATAGTAGGGTTTAGGGCTTAGGGTTTAGGGTTTAGTAACTCATGATCACATAACTACTATCCGAAACCCAAGTACCCAATTATATACTCTCCCAAATAGTAACCTACATAACTACCATCCGAAACCTAAGTACCCAATTAGTAACCTACATAACTACTATCCCCTAAGTACCCTGCAATTATCTTTAAAGGCTCTTTATTACCTTGCAAAAATTACAACTTTTAGTACCCCCCCCAATATCAAAAAAAGGCTAATCCTAAAAGTGATAAAAGCTATAAAGTGACAATAAAGTTCAACCAAAATTATTGGGTCCTTTGGACCCTTGGGGGAAGGGAGTCGCAGGTTGAAGCCACGTCTGGCCTGGGCTGCACCGACTAAGCCAACGACCAGGACGTGAATCATGTCGGCACCAGTTCGCAAATCCTGGTCTCTAGGGTTTTTTAAATTGCAATGGCGCCCTCTCTAGGGTTTAGGGTTTAGGGTTTAGGGTTTAGGGTTTAGTCTTTAGGTTTAGGATGTTGTAGTTTAGGTGGGGCTTAGTCTTGAGGGTTAAGGGTGGGATTAGACAGTGTAGGGCTTAAGGGGTTTAGGGCGTCCTGGTCGTTCTGCGCGAGGCAGCTCATGACGACATGGAAATGACGTGTGATGGCATCGCTGAACACGATCAAATCGCGAGTGCTGTCCAGTAGCTCCGGAGTTTGTAACGCCCCAGTCCTTGGCTGCTTGGGGTTTGGTGCTTTAAGGCTTGGGCGTAGGGTTTGGGAACTGTCCCTGGCTAGTTGTAAGGAGCCCAGGGACAACATGATTTGCAATGAAGCTTATCGGCTTCTCCCTGTGGGTCCAGGTGCCTTAAGATCCGATGCTTCCGAAACGACTAATGTACAGCCCACTCAAGCCACCAAACAAGCCAATTTCCCCGTACTACCACTACTACTTCGTAGTCGTCGTGGTGGTAGCGGAAGCGGCGGTAGCGCTAGCAGCAGCGGCAGCAACAGCAGTAGTAGCAGCAGCAGCGGCAGCACTAGCCCTGGCAGTAGGCAGTAGGAAGTAGGCGGTGAGCAGTAAGCAGTAAGCAGTGGGAGGACTAGTAGTCGTAGTAGTAGTAGTAGTAGTAGTAGTAGTAGTAGTAATGATAATAGTACTAGTCGTACTAAATAGCGCCTTAAAGCGTGACTGCCAAACCCTAAACCCTAAATTTAAATGCCAGACCCCAAATCCTAAACCCTAAACAGCCAGACCCTAAAAATTATGACACTAAACCCCAAACCCTAAGTGCCAGACCCTACCTCCTAAACTGTCCTAAACCCTGAACCCCAGACCCCAAATATCCCAGCGGGCTCTTAAAGTCTTAGGAACCGCGAAGACCTTAACAGCTTGACCCAAAGCAACCTCGCAGCCCACGGCAAAAAAGGCAAAGGTTTAGGGTTTGGGGGTTTTAGGATTAGGGTTTAGGGATTTCAATAGAAGTCCAAATCCACACTCAGATTCGGGTAGGAACTGCACGAGCTGGACGAGACCATAGACCCGCCGGCGGCATGACGTGTGTTGATGACGGAGTTGATGCCCGTGCTGCTGACCACCACAGACCCGCCATGGAGGACTGATCCCCAGTCACGGGGACTTGGCCCACCAGAAGCATGCATTGCACCACTGGGTGCAGCATTCATTCCGCCATTGGACGCATCCGGGGCTACTGTGAAGGGTAGCTGCAATTGGGTCGGTGAAGTGATGGTGTTGGCGAGATCTGATCCCGTCTAAGCACTTATGTTCCAAGGGCCGCGGGCCCAAGACGATGCGATGCAGCGATCTTCGGCTATGTTGAGCCTTAGAGCCTTATTAGTGTTACCTAGTTGCGCATTCGATGGCACATCCATCACAACACAGGCTTAGACGACTCCTTCGATGCTTCTAGAGATGGCTTCTGCGGGCGTTCTCGTGGAACAGCTGCTCATGAAGACTGAGAAGGCTGACTTGAACCATCTGATTCAGAAGCATAGTACGGTCCTGACTTTAGCAATCACGCGCACAAGAGTACGTAGTGGTAGACACATTGAAGACAACACTGCTAGGAAAACAAATGCTGGCCAAAATGATCCAGTTTAAAGCCAGCACAAGCCGAAATACTGCTACAGGCAGTGCAACATACCCGCGGTTGCAGAATTGTCGCGGGGTAGCAGCAGAAATCTCTGTCGTTGTCGTCGTCGGTCGTGGTCGTCATCGCTGTGTTCGTAAAAGGAAAAGAAGTGGTGGTAGCAATGGCCGTCGTAGTGGTGGTAGTTGTAGTACTAGTCGTCGTCGTCGT